GGGGTTCAGTTGATTTCTCAAGGTTTTTTATCCACCTGGCTCGGTCCGTCGAAAATGAGTGTAAAATTTGAGGTATCAATCAGATCTTAAATAGTCTTACAGTATTATACAGGGCGTTAAACCATACAGTACAATAGAATACTTCATGTCGAAATTAAGCCTTATTCCAGTGCAAACATTCTTTTTCTTAATAAGCAGTAATTTTACTCGTTACTGAAATATGTCAAGACCAAAACGAGACAGAATAACCTAATTATTAAGAGTGTACTATTGATACCAACAACCCAACATCTACTGAGGCGAAATAAAAACCAGATAGAGATTCCGATGTACGGTATAGAATAAAGCTCTCCTTTCGAATTGTTTGTTTAAATGCACATTGGATGAAAACAAATTATGGGAAAAGCCGAGTAAAATAAGTTAAACGAGTCAAGTTTTAATGACAGTGGTGCACTGAGAACTAAATAAGGCCACCACCCACAAGATGCAAATAGATAACGACAACTTCTAACCAGGTCAAAGTGCGAGTGACTCGGACAGCGGGGCGTTTATTCGCCAAATATTGGAGAGAAAACATTAAACCCTCCAAAAGTTGGTTATTTGCCAATACGAGGAGAAACGCACTGCTCATCCGAGCACATAAAAATGTGTCCAGAGCTAATGGCAATGTTCAACAAGAAACGTTTTCTCGTGTTTGTGCTTGGGGCAAGTCAAAAAAGAGTTCAAATTTAAACAATTAAAAAATTCGGAAGTCCCTGATGCCAACTTAGACGTTGTACTTAGCCTTGGCCTTGGCTTACTTGGCCGTTGTCCATCAACCGTCCGCCGACATTGGCCGTGAAGAAAGAGGAAGTCGCCGTTTCTTTTGGCGAGTATACTTTTGGGGTGGAGCAGTTGTTTGCCCGCCATTTTTGGAGAATAATAGGAGCATTCTGTTCCAACTTGACCAAAGTTGGAGAGTGTTGACGTAGAAAAACAAACAGTGGGAGATAATCTATCGGACTATCTGTCCAATCTTACACGAAGTATAACGACTGAACAGAGGTTTTTGAATGCAAAAGAAAACGGCATGCAATTAACAGACTGCAATGCTTTATGTCCAACAAGGTGGTTGCATCAAATATTTGGACACAGAAGGCTGGGAAAGAGTTTTGTTTTGAAATTGCATGCTAGTCTTCAAACTGAAATACAATTTTTATCTATTTATTTATTTATTTATTCATCTATGTATTTATTTTTTTTATTTTACTTAGATGTTTTATGCTCCCATTGACACAACTTAGAACATTTAGGAAGCGAACTGTCAGGACTAACCTCGGCTGAGATGGGTAAAGCATCCCAGCAGAGAGACTGAGATGCTCGTGGGTGGTTGGCGAGTGCTCTGGTGTAGTTTGCTTCTTCTTTCTTATAAACCATCTATCGTCTTTATCTCCCCTCCTTCTTTTTTGTGTTTGTTACTCTCTCGTAACACCTCTAACCTTCGGCACTTATATGACCTTATTGTGTTGCAAGTGCCGTAAAACTCTTACTAAATAAAACCAAGACCGAGATGCTCGCTAAAAATGTTTGCCACACAGGGAATCGGACACTCAGGTCTTTTACGAGCTACGGTCAAGCGCCTAACCTCTACATGTACACCACAGACGCCGAGGCGCTTTTCCCTTTCGTCAACCCGCAGCCACCTCCCGAATCGGCAGCCACCCCCCAACCTTTGACACGGGTCAAACTTCCATCTATTTATAGGAAGTTACCGGAATACGTATAGGTGAAGTGATGTGCCGTGAAAGTCGCGATATATTATTTATTGAGATTGTTTTGGTCTCTCTTTACTCATCACCACGAGAATTTCTTGAAGTTTTTCTCTGGACTCTGCCTTTACTAACATCTCGAATCTAGATCTAGAGATCTAGATTTTAGATCTAGAGTTGTAATCTAGTGGCAGGTTGCAGATTTCTGTTGTTATCCATTACATTCAAGAGATTAAATAAATTGGACTAGACTCTAGATCTAGTAGTAGCAAGTTAATTCGTTTGAGTACAGTTATGTACATCGACGCAATAACAGCAATTTTGCTCAAAAGAGAAACAAGACAGATAGATAAGATAAGGAAAAGAAAAGAAAAGAAATAGGAACCACGAGTGGCGCCCTCTAGTCACACCACGTGAGGTACGTGTATGTGTACAAGACGGGAACAAGAGTCTTTCCGGAGAGTAACCCTACTGGTACGGAAATTACTGTCCAACCATTAGGCCAGGGGTTAAGGACAATCCTCTTCTCATTTTTGTTTGGTTTCAGTAAATAGAAGCACACTGGCACAATTACAATCATTTGGATGTCGGAAAAAAAGGCAAGGAATAACAGAAGAAGAAGAAAAGTAAAGAAGCAGGACCTTCCAGGGCACCCTACAGCAACATGCAGGTAAATTTTATTGAGACTGCAATTTTGACTCCACGGAAAGCAATGGCATCCATTCAGTTGTTTGTTATATCCAAAGTAGTAAATCGTTATTTTAAAAAGTTTCAATCAGACATTAATGTTTTGGCCAAAATGAGTTACTAAGACCGTGAGGTCAGAAACCAATGTTCTATCTACTCTATCAAAATTGTGAGATTATTCGGAGCCGTTATCAAGACTAAGACAATCAAAGAATTGCATTGGAAAAACCTTGACATTATGTGAAACTCAAAATCTTTGACGTCAAATTTCTAAAACTAGTTAGCCTTCTGAGAAGATAGAACTTTGTAATTTTGAGGTAGTGAAATGTCTTAGCCACAGTCATGGGCTCGCGCTTTGGAGTCATGGTCTGGTGGTCGCGGCATCCAGGGTGTCACGTCCTGGATTCTGCCCACACTATCATCAAGATAAACACAGATCGGGGTGGGGGTTTTTTGTGGGTTTTTTTATTGTTGTTGTT